AAGGAAGACTTATTTGTCTTCATCTCTTCTAAGTCGTTATTATTGACACGAGTCCATCAGCGGCTCCACCAATTCTATCGACGGAAGTTTGGTCAGTTGAAGCGACAACATTAAGTGCGATCATTGGTCCCTCGGGGAAAAATTGCTTTTCTCTCTTTCTCTCTCTTTTTTACTCTCTTCTACTGTTAAACAAATTAATTAATAAACTTTTCTAAGTTAAGAATTTATTTTAGTAGTAATTATTTACATTATCTACAAGTACAATGAAAATAAATTGAACTTAGAATATTCTTACAAAAGGAAAAGATCGTAGACATTATATATAGTGTGTTTAATAACTATTTGCTATATTTATGGCCGTTGTTATTTCATGAGAAGAATGTAAGCTATAAGCAGTAACGTTCAAGAAAGTATTATGATTCTAGAACATTATTGAAAAGAATATGGTTAACGTCGAACTGTAATAAAAAGGGAAAAAACTACAACTAATTCTGCCTCCATCACTAGAGGAGATATATAAGTCCTTGTAGTGTTTACATTATCGTGAGTTTACAGACAAGTGAAGATATGAGATTTACGTAGGTGTAATTACTAGTTTAGTAACGTTATGGAAAATAACGTTTCTAGTCTAGCAATATGGAACATACAGTACATACTTATAATTTATACAATATAGAATATTATCTAGTAATGTTTAAAAACATTTCTGCGAATTTAAGACGTACTAAGAATGATATACAAGTAAACTAATGTTTAAAAATATAATCATGAATCTGTCGCACACAAGAGGCTATAGATAGTAATTATACGTATGAGGAAGCGGATATCTATAAAGGAGATTACTCAGTAAGAAGATATATAAGGTATACAAGAGAAGATATAATCAGTAAGTAGTTTAGTCGTGTTTGAAAATAACAACATGAATCTATACCATATAAAGAAATTCTATTTTTTCTAATGATGAAATATAAGGAATGATATAAATTGTAACTTCGCTAATTAAAAAAAATATATATATATATCTAAAAATTAAATAAATGTTTAAATTAATAAAACATGAAAAATAAGATCTGTACGTTTGTTTCTTTCATTTGCCTACTCATAATTACAGCAATTATTTCAGACGAAAAATTATAATGATTAATCTCGCATAACTTAGTATCAAATAATCTCTTGTGTATCATTTTTTACATGCAAAAACTCCTACTTTCCCGTAAATTAAAAGAGTTGCATATAGCAATTTAAATTGTATTTATTTTATTCCTGTCTCCGGTTAGGTTTCCGTCTGTTCGATTTTGTCTGTCTGCAAGAATTCTCCAAATCTAAATTCAAATCCTATAGAATGGTGAGATTGGTGGATGGTGATATGGGATAGTCACTCCCATATCATTAAAACCTACTTACATAAACGTTTAAAAATATCACTCCCAAATTGACTGTAATTTTTTTTGACAAACACAATGCTTAAAAATTATTTCTGAAATCTGCAAGTATAATTAGAAATATAAAATTTATACAAGTAATTATTAAAAGTATGCTATCACGAATCTAAGTTTCGTACAAGAAACATAACAGTAAATAGGTGTGTCTAATATCAATGCCTAAGATTTAATTTATCGTCTAAAAATCTACATGCAAGGAAGGCTACAGTTAAAAGTATAAAAAAATATTTTAAAATATCATCTTAAATGAAGGTGTAAACATGATAATATTTGAGATAATATTATCATTAGTTTAGATATACCGGTTCACCACCGTATAAAAAAAAAATAGATGATAAAATTAAAAAAAAACGCTTTATCTTCCCTATAGGGGATATAATAACTAGAAAAATAGAAAGTGCGGGAAATTCTTCATTGTTTACTTCAACGCGAGTGGTGCCAAGTAGATTGTATTCAACATAAACTTTTTCACTTCGGTAGCTTTGATGACTGATAACAATTACAAACAGTACGCAGTCCTCGACAGAGATATTGACCAGATACAGTATTTTCCGATCCCTACAAAACAGTGGCTGTGATTCACCATCTTTTTTTCCCTCTGCACAGTTTTTGGATAAACGTGTTCTGTCAAATCCAGCATGCATGGAACCACCCAGCGTTGCAGCGATTGTTAATGATTTATAGCTCAGCATCCTGCTGTGATGATGTGGTTTAGTCATAAAAAAGTAGAAAAAGTTAAAGTACAGCGAAAAGTCATTTATAGGAATTTTTTTCTCTGTGATTTTTTTTTATTGCGAGAAAATTTTAGGTAATAGATATCACCGCATCACCACATTTGTATATCGGAAATGTGATTTGATTAATTTTTTTTTAACGTAAGAATTTTATGAGGCGCATATTTTTCTTGGTAGGGGTTATATTATGAGTTAGGAAAAAAAAGGAGAGTTGGAAAACAAAACATCCGCACGCGTCTCGCAGTTTTGCTATGACATCACTGATACCCTAATACCATTTAGAGGCCAGTTGATATTTATCTTCAAGCCATAACTCACTGTCATTGGTTTGGAGACTGATAAAATGCCTGAAGAGATTGGACGTGCGATAATCTAGGCGTACAACAATGGCCTTGGAACGTTCGCCCAATAGAGGAGGGATTTCAAATTGAGGCAGTTGTATAATTGTAGAGCTTTTCCATTATCAGTAATTTTTAAGTGTGCAGTTAAGTACGATTCGGTGTGAGTCTCTTTGTTGGCAGAAGCCAATGGGTCAAACGCACTCGAATTTTATCTGATGAAACATAAATGACTTTCTCCTTATTAAAGTCAGGTTTGAAGTTGGAAAAGGAAGAGAGAGAGAGGAGAACTCTGCTTGATGATTACTTAATTAACAAAAAAAATTATTAGTTTTTTTAAATACGGTATATTTAATGCTTAGTAAAACTAAAATAAAATTAAAGAACCGATTGAATATTTTCAGTTAGAATCGAAGCAGCTGTTATTTTAATTTTTATAAAATTCTAGAAGGAACTTACATTTATTTATATACATAGCGAGTACATTTTGATAATGGTCCATTTATGTTTATTATTGTTATATATATAGAGCTTTCTTTTTCTTTTTCGTCTCTTTTGGTTTATTACTTTGTTGTTTTTAAATATTTAACAAAATCGGATCTTTCCAGATGTTGTTCTGAGCAAAGCCATCAGGAAGAGAAAAACAAAGAGTAAGTTTTCGGTGATTGTTCTCAAGGTGACAATTTTTCAGTTCCTTCGAAAACAGCCCTGACGTATGATGTTTCACAAACAACAAAATTGTTACTTTTACTTGTTTTATATATTTTTTCCTTGAAGGAAACATTTTAAGGAGCCGCATCGAACAATTTTTATATTAAAAAAAAGAAAGAAAGAAAGAAAGAAAACATACGCAAAAGCAAAGCAATCTAAATGCACTTTTACGGATGATGTCGTTTGTTTCAAGCAAAAAANAATTAAGTTAACAATCTCATTAAATCGAATTTAAGGTAAATTCCTGGATATAGAAACAAAATTAATTATTATTATCCTATTAAGGTTTCATTAAGATAAAAGAAAAACGGGAAAAAAAGGAAAATAAATTGTATAATTTACGAAGGATAATCAACACAAACATCGTTAAATATACAAATGCTAATCAAAGAGATTTAGAAATAAAAATAAATATTTTATCTACTCATTTAAGGTTTCTAAATCGTTGACATTACTAAAGTTACGAATGATGAAGGTTAAATATTTTTATATATACTAAGTTGCTATTTAGCTAATGATGATAAATGTAAATATAAACGTTAATCAAACTACGTTAAGCCAAGCTAAAAATAAAAAGTAAATGAAATATTTTATCTTCTTTCTAACACGTGTTAGCGATAAAAGAAAACAAAGATAGACGTTGTTTTATTTATTTGTTATTATTTTTTTTATTGACAGGATGAAGATTTAAATCTCCGTGCGGCTTATCTGCGACTAAAAATACTTTTCTCGAAAGGAAGTTGCTGTGTTAATTATAAGCATCGTCTTGTGTAGTTTCTTCTATGGAAATGGTATGTATCATTAAACAATATTATGATACGTTGATTATCGCGTGCAATATGTAGCCTACAATATTAACACGTAAATTATTAAGTTTATTCTGAATAACGCACAAAACTGACTTCAAACTACGTGTTGCGTAACATACACACAATAATTTGCATTAATTATTTATTATACGATATATATATATATTATGCTGTGTATAATATATAACGCAATAACTGTGTTAATTAAATATTACATAATAAATTTAATTCAAACAGTTGTGTTTAATACACTATACAACTAAGACGTTAACTTAAATAAATCATACAAGGAAGAGTCATTCTCATTCTGTAGGCTACACGAAATTGGATACAGTTCTGTTCATACATCTATCCCCAGTTGTCTAATATTACTAGTCTGAGGCTCAGAAATGGGTTTCTTCGTATAGGTTAAGAAATGGTTTATGTCTATAATCAATACTTTCCACGTTTCGGAACACGTGTTAAAAAGATCGTAACTTTATATAAAGAAAAGTTACGAAGATACTTTTAGTAATGTATTTGATGTTGAGTAAATGTTTAATTAACACGTTTTCTAGTATTTAAAGTTGTGATTAAGTGTATATTTGATCGAGCAAAGTTAAGTTTACTTAAGAAATCTCCGGAATTTCCGTCCTTACATTACACAATAAAGTTAGTACATAAAACTATGGCTTTATATCTAATATATACACCAACATAAATATAAGGTGACTGTTGTAAGCTGTACGAAACTGGATACGGTCTTATACGTATCTGTATAGGTCGAACTTATCCGGAAATTGTCACGTGGCTGCATGAAATTGAGCTGACGTCACAGGGAGTGATTGCTATGACGACCAAACACAGCTTTTACATTATTACTATAGTCAAAACAGGAAGGGAAAGTTTATACGTGTATAAATGTTAGAATGTTTTGCGAAAATCGATATCAGGTTTAAATTTGATAGGAGATTGTTTACCGAGGATTATCCGCCATCTTGACGAGATACACGTACGGGGTGACGCTTTTGATGATGGGGTGACGCCCTATCGTTGCTATGGTTACATTGCCAGGCATTAACGAAAGACGATGTTTTGGAGCATAAAGAAAGCTTAGTTCATCAAACGAGGATTAAAGACTTTGCAAGACACGAGAGAATTTTTCAATTCAAGATAATGTTTATTCTTGTAATCACACTGATAATTAATCAGTTACATACAGAGTAAAAGATGTCATGTTTTAAAAGGATAGTAGATTTTTAGAAAAAAAAAGAAGGTAGACAAAGGTTAACGACGTTACCCACTTATTTGTGGATTTACAGTGTTTTATGAGGTAAAAATCCTCATTTTCATTGAATGGGGAGAGAGGGGAAACGATTTTATTGCTTTTCTTAAAGTCATTTTAGTGAAATTCGATAAAGAGATAGTTACGGAACCTCCTGTTCCCTCGCTCGTTTAGTAGCCCATTAAAATGTAATCAAACGATTTTGGATAATAGAGATTTGCAGAATTTTTTTTAAAAGAAAACATGCACAATTGCTGATGGTATTCTTAATGATTTGTTTAGTATCTTCGATGTCGAACCCCCTCATCTCCCCTAAACTCGTGCCAAGTTTAATTTAAACACACGATCACGCGCAGTCGAAAACATACAAAACAGCATCTGGAAACTTACTTGTGAATTTATCAAGTGCTTCTTCCAAGGTAAGTCCGTCCATCCCCCAAATTCGAAAATGGACCAGTCTGACCAGGTGCCTAGTCTAACCGCGCCAATAATCCTTCTATCTTCTAGACGAGCAGGCAAAAGTTGATTTTTGAAAATTAATTTTTCACGGGTTAAAAATCGAATTTGCATGTAGAAGAAATAGGCTTATTGCGATTTAGAAAAATGCAATAAATTAAAAATAATTTTCTTTTCTTCAGATTTTTATCTCTGTCCAACATACTATATTAATTCTCAGTGGGGTGATTGAGGACGAAAAATATCCTGTTAACGTAAGAACAGATGGCACATTTACCTGAGTTCGACAGGGCTTTATCCACGCAACAGGTAGAGACGTAACAATCAATCATACGAACAAGTCTTGCATACCAACTTAGACAATGGGAGTTTCTCCGGGGCAATTGGGTGTGGAACCTTGTAAAATACCTGAGAGAGATCATGCAAAGTGACTTGTAACAGTTGGCGAATGTTTACATAAGCGGGAACGAGAGAAAAACTTTGAGAATGAAGCCATTTCATGTGAGGCTGGAGTAGTAGATCTGTTCTGGAAGTTTAAATAAAGCGAGAAAAACCACATCAGTTTGTACATTGATTGTATAATTCACTAAATTTTACAATGATGATAAAAACAAGAAATATACCGACAAGTAAAATAAAAATTAATATATATATGTGAATGATTATGTACATGAAACATTAATCGGGACGGTAGAAATGAGGGAATGTCAAACAAACAATTATATATATATTTATATATATAAACCACATACATCTGTCCACTGTACACTGATCTTTATTGGCACTGGTGTTGTATAGGTCGTGCGCCTTGAATTTTGTTTCCAACTTGAAGCGAGGCGAGGCTGTGGTATGTGTGAGTCACTATTCCAGGGAGGAAAAAAGCGACACGGGAGGGGGTCTTTTCTATTCACTGAAAGCCTGACTTGAATCCTAGTACTAAATTACCAGGAAGGGAGACTTCCTTCTGACAAGTCGTAGAAAAATAGCAGCCAGCCATTTAACAGTTTGGTAGTAGTTTTGTGGGAGGATTTAGGGTCATACATAAGCTTCTCCTCCACAGATTCGACGGAACAGTCGAACGTACAAGTGTGCAGTTTTTCCTGACCATACCCAAAACCCAGACGTTATCCCAACAACTAGAGTCATGAGATATTTGATCATGAAGACTGCAAATTCTGGTTTCGACAGGTATTTTTCATTACCTATAGGGCATGGGATGCTGTAATGAGGATGCGAACATTTATCTCGCTGCCACGATAGCATCCATGACTCAAAATATGTCTGTTCGTAAAAGTAGCAAGCAAGTACTATAATGGCCGGTACGGTATAAAGTACTGAGAAAACGCCAATTCTTATCATTAATTTTTCTAATTTATCTGTTTTTGTTCCGTCGTGCTTCATAACTGTCCTTATGTGACAGAGTGAAACGAATCCAGCTAATAGAAACACGGTTCCCAATCCGAGATAAACAGAGAGAGGTGCTAATACAAATCCTCTTAAAGCATCTACATTCCAGATACCTACATTGCACACTCCACTTAACACATCACCTTCGACTTTTCCCATAGCTAATATGGTAATGGTCTTAATTGCAGGTACAGTCCAAGCAGCCAAATGAAAGTATTGCGAATTATTTTCTATTGCTTCGTGGCCCCATTTCAGACCAGCCGAGAGTAACCATGTAAGAGTTAAAATGACCCACCAGATAGAACTAGCCATACTAAAAAAATACAGCATCATAAAAAGTATGGTGCAACTTTCTTTCTGGTTGCCTTGAGTAACTGTGCGTATCATAGTCACCCCAGTCTGGCCATCTGGTGGTTTAAATGGTTTATTACAAACCACATTGTCACCTAATGCAAAACCCGTGACGTAAGTCAGAGCAACCATAAAGTAACAAATTGATAGAAAGATGATAGGGCGTTCGGGATATCTGAATCGTTGTATATCAAGCATAAAGGTCAGAACGGTAAATAAAGTCGATGCCATACACAAAATAGCCCAGGTTCCGATCCAGGTCCTTGCGAACTTTCTCTCTTGTTCGTTGAAGAACATACCATCACAGGGTGTACCACAGTTTTTTATCTCCTTGTTTCCTATTCGAAATACATAACCTTCGCCCGGAGGCACTTTAAACTCAATAGGGCAAATGAAATCCCTACCTTTCAAAGTTTCGTTGCGAGTCGGAGGTTGATGACCGGTGGGAGGTTTCTTCGTTCCTGCTTGTTGGGATCGTTCTGTATTGTTTTCTCCTACGCACAGTTCTTCACCACCGGCTTCGGGGAATTTAGCGCAGTCTAAACTTTCGGGCCATCGAAACCCGAACTTGTTCATCAACCCTTCGCAACCGTTGCGAGCCGATTGGCATAGGGAGCGACAAGGTGGTATAGCTCTCTCTATAATGGTACAAACGGGTGCGTACATGGAACATAAGAAAAATTGTAAATCTGCACTACACTGTACCTTGACCAGAGGAAAGAACTGATGGACTTCTAAACCGGCATCTTCTTGTTTCTGATGATTTAACAAATTCGGCATAATAGTCTCATTATATTGTATATCTTTACACAAAGGGATGGTTATAGGCTCGCATCTGCCGTGATGAGGTATAACGCTTTCGCGATCAGACACTCTGGAGCTAGATACTTGAGCCACGACGCGAAAATCTCCATGTTGGATAGCCGTAATGGCGACACACAACACAATCACGTCACCTACCGACATTTTCGGTGTCCTAAAGTTCATTTCACCTCTTTCTCATCGTAATTCCAGTATTTTTTGACGGTTGGTCAGCAGTTTCCACTCACAAATAAGGTTTAAACCCGTGCTGGATGCACAATAACAAGAAGGGATGACGTTCTGTATCCAGACACAACGAAAAGCAGTTTGTCTCCGTCGATTGGGATTGGTCGAACGAAAACGATGGGCGGTGCGATAACACCGTCGACAGCAAGTTGGTTGGCTTGTTTGAATGGCATTGACCCGATGTTGAAAGAAATGTTGGGAAGAAATCGGCCTTGTTTGCATTAAGGGTCTCGTTGTCCGCTTATAATGGAAATGCTACTTTACTCTATGTCGTGTTTCCTGTATCTTCGCCTATTTGTATTCTGTATAACACCTTTCCACGACTAAACGTTTTCCTTTTTATTATTGCAATTAACTTCATTTTTGTATGTGTGTATATATATGTATATGCATACTAAAAAAAATATAATTCGAGAAAGCCAATATATATCAATTTATTTAATAGCATTTATTCTATATACGTTTAATTAACCCCTTCGCCTCCTGTAGGTTTCATGAGAATTCCCGGACATTCAACGCCAGCTGTTTTCAAGGTAATCCAGGTGTAAATACTTCCGTCTAAAATGACGGGTGCATTTTATAAATGTTTAAAAATGCATTTTAATTTTGAGATAAAATTAAGAACTGAATTACGCCCTGATTTTTTTCTTAAACAATTCCGGTGTTTAGTATTATACTTAAGTTAAAGAGCTAAATAATGTTTAAGTAAGACAATAAACAAGTTTCGTGACTTGCATTATATCGATATAATCAAATAAATATAATTACATTCTAGAATTTAATTATATTTATTATCATTTAAATAATTGATTAGAAGTTCAAACAGAAAATTATCATCGCGTTTGCTTGATTAATGTATCCAAAATCCTGCTTATATCAATAGAGCTTGCCGGTAAAGATATCAAGAAATTATTATAGCCTAATTCAAATGCTCTGGTACAAAGTTTAAATTTAAAAGATTATGACGTAAAATTCTTATTTGCATGATATAGCCTACTGAGAATAAAATTATAGAGGAATTTTAAACGTCTGCCATTCTTCTTCGTTCTTGGACCATTTTCAACACAAAACTCTCTGAATGATATAAAAACAAAGCTGCAGGGTATATAGCAATAATTTGACAATGATGAAAGTTCTTTGTAAACCTACCGCTACTATAGTGTATTAGGATCAGGAAGCTCGAGGGCAAACAGTGGCCTTTCTTCTTCAGTCGTGGGCTCCATCGTGTCTAGTGCAGCTTCACGCCTGGCACCCACGATTCTTACGTCACCAGTTTAAACTTTGATATCTTCCTATTAAAAATAAACTTAAGGCGTGAATATCTTACAGGTGATTATAGTCATGTATCACTTTAAGTTTTTCTTATTAAAATTCTTAACATCTAGTCTACTACACATCAAGCACGCATTATTCCTACGTCACTGGTTTATTTATGATGATATCGATTCATCTAGATCTGATTGATTGTACTTTTGTGTAGCTGAGACTTTCTAAGATTCTTCGATACAAAAGATTCTCGTTTCCTTTTCGGTGCGACCTTCTCTGATGTGTGCCTATCGCATTTTGCATTATTTAACGATGCAAAGTTGGAATGCATTAAACCGTTAACTTTACATTTAGCGTAATTATAAATGGCAGTTTAGAATTTCGAATCGTACTAAGCATTTATAGATGATGGCTCCCTTGACCCAATTATGATAAAAATTAATAAAGTTTTAACCAGATTTGTTACACGACTTACCTGACGTTTACCTCACACGTAGCGAGATATTAACCCATCAAGTTTATGCCATTAATGAACTCGCTGAGCAAACTTGTAATCCTTGACTCCAATTAAACCGACTTAATGTCCGATAGGGTCTATCATGTAATCGTTGTTAATTAATCGTTTGATTTAACGGGATGTTAAGTTTCCAATCGGTTAATTATTTTGTAATCGATTTCTCCATAATCGCAGAAAAGTTTACATTTTCGAGCGCTTCTTTTAAGAATTTTTAACAGTTTAATGAACATAAAAATCTCTTCCTTGGCATAGAAGTGATGTCGTGCGAACCTGATTTTTACGCATTTATGCATCGTAACGTTAAATTTACGGGTTGAAAATATTTTCTCTTCTATTTCAGTGTGCAATTATTACGGAAAGATGAAAAAATTCAAGGCTTTTATTGCGTATCTGCCCTTCTAAATAAAGGCTTTATACGCATATAGAAGAATACTTTTTTATATATTATATAGTATTTCACACAACTGCAACTGGTATTCGTGACGCATTGTGTGCTTCTGAAGTCATATAATATATCAATTATTCATTTACAAAATTTTTTATATGCAAAAAAATGTATGGTTATTCGAGAAGTTTCGTTCTCTGAAAGATAAATTCGGTTTCCGCATCTCTGCGTGGTTCTCTGATCGATATACTTTCCCTGATTTTTATAAACAATATAATTGATATGTTTTATGAAACATGTATGTAGGCGTATGTATAAATAGAAAAAGTTTTTTTATAAAACTTTTTTCAATTGAAATTTTCCTTATTGTGTTCCATTTCCTACGATATAAGTTTACTATAGAGGCTTTAAACCCACGTTTTGAGTCCATCAAATTCTCATAGTAAAGCTTTAAAAAAGTAGGCGGCTTCTTAAATTTCGCCTCAGGTCATCGGTAGCAGTTTTCTATAGGTAGTTTTTTACATGAAAATGGAGCTGTTTGGGAGAAAATATTTTTATTCAGAACTCAGTTTGAATTCAGTTTTACTAATATTTTAGATTTATTTATGTTTCTACTGAAAAAAAATCAATGATAATTTGTAGATTTAAAGTTAATTTACGTTCTTAAACATTGACTTTTAAATTTTTAAATTACGTATACATATATAGTTTTGTTTAAATTAAAATAAATTATAACATAATGGAAATATCGATTGATCTCCAAACACGTAGGTTTACATTATAAACCATTTTTGAATGTTAGAGTGATCAATCGTTAGATAAAACCGATCAATCATGTAAGCATCTACTATGTCAAACATATTAACGTTAGCATTCTATCACAACCTATTCAGGAAATTTTTATATATACTTATCAATAAATATAACAATTCTAAACTACTATATTTCGTCCTTCAAAATGTTGTTTTTTTTCATATTTTAAAAAAATAAAACAAGACAAAAATTTAAAAATAACTGAAATCTCTGAAAGCACGGAATATGGTTTGACTCCTGTATGTATTGCTTCTATAACGTTGAATAGGCAGGAAAAATTTATTGGTGTAAATAGTCAAGTATAAATAGTAGTTCCATTTTAAAATTATGACGAATTGCTGCCTCATCATTTAGTTTAGTTTAAAAATAAAACTAAAATATATATTCAAAAAAAAAAGGAAAGAAAATCGTACTTCTAGTATAGTTGTAAACAATTGCAAATTTATTAATCTGCAGTTAAAAATTAATATTTTAAAATATTAAAGCTTATTTTCTCCGTACCTTTAACGAACTATTCGAGCGTGTTATTAAAATTAGTTCTCCCAGGAAGTTAAATGCATAATATTTGTTTATAAAACTAATTATACGTATAATAAAATCTGATATAAAGTTAAGCAAATATTGAAAAAAGTATAAATTTTTATATTGATTTTTGATTTTTATCATATCAAAATATTAATAGAATTAATTCCCTCGAAGCATTCATATTATTATAGATTTCTCCACTAACGTGTACTTAAGTCAATAACAAATTTCTATAATTTCATTCAAGTTCAGTTATCAATCAAATGAATAAGGTAAACATGTTTGCTGTTCTAGACTGATTTATAATTTCCACATTTCTATACAATTTTTAAATGAAAAAAGAAACCAAAATAAATTGAAAATTAGCTTAATTCCTCAAGGAAAATGTGCTTTATTAATGTAAATCTTTGTGCTACATCTGTTACTGGATAATTTTGGAATAACATCTTCGCAATAAGTTATGATAATTTGTCCTGTAAGATAAATTTATTTAGCTTATTCTATATCACTTTTAGATCTAATAATAAAGATCCACTCGAAATGATATTTAGGAATTTTTCCAGATCTTGATTATAGTTAGTAGCATTTCTAGTAACAGATGCTGCGATATTTCACGCGTCACAGAACAATACTTCGAAAGAATTGCTATTGCTCTGCAAGTAGTCGGCAAATTTTCCTGAATTCAAAATCGAATGGATGATTTACATTTAGATTTAGAACAACAATTTAATTTGCAGTCAGAAGTGTTATTTAAATTTAAAATAATAAAAACAGGAACTGCACGGTTGGTAAACAATGCCTTTATGCCTTGTTAGAATTCAGAACTCAATGTTTTTGCTTTAAAAAAAAATGATTATTATCGCTATTCTTAGATATTTGAAACCAATTCATATTGTTTCACACCAGCAGAGATGCCAATTAGTCATTTTTTAGAGCAAAGATCTGGAATTATCGAATCAATAGGAGCCAGCTGTGAATGCTTATTATACCTTCATTTGATTTTGATTATAGTTTCATTTCCCAAGACCCCGGATACGGCTTAAATCAATTATAAATATATTAAACACAGATTTCCGAGTTAGCAGCAAGCTGCAAATTTTTGTTTCTACCAGCCTTTTCTTATTGAGAGAAGTAAGAAATTCTGAATATCTTGACAATAAATTCATTTATATATTTATGTTAGAATTTTAAATTCTGTTTAAATTTAATTATTATATTTTTAATTTTTATGGCTATGATAATTTTCAAAAATTAAAATAACTTCTGTAAAAAAAAAAATACGAATTTTATTCCGTTGTATTTTGCACAATATTTTATTTTTAAAAATAATAATAAGTTTATTTTTATTTCTAAATATTATATGGTTCCTTACTGTCCTTAGGCCTATTTTAAAATCCTTCTTTCCACCCATTGCACTAAGATGCTAACTAGGTGGGAAGTACGGAATTGCACCTGAAACTTCACAGTTTGGCATAAACCGTTTACGAGATAATCGGCTTTAAAAATACCCTATTACAGGAAAAAAAAAAAACAGTTCAGTGTTAGAAATCAGAAAAATTCCAACTAAAAAAATGTCTTTAAATTTAATAATTTCGCTAATTTAATAGTAGAACAATTCATCCTTCATTATCATTCATCAGCGCAATTATCTTCTAGAAAATCGTATTAAAATTAATTTCATTGAGAAAAGATGCTTTCCTTCAGATATTTTTCTTATAACGTTGTGTTTTATATATATTTATAATTTTTTTTTATATAAAAAATCTCAAAGAATCTGTAATAAAATTTCGATGCGTTATTAATGCTTCCGGTTGCCTCC